CCTTTTGTTACATTGTTTTATATTTGAACATTAATGGATGTTCTATCGATTAATTGATGTTCAATGGATATTGATAATTGATTGCATCATTGAGATGCACATTATGCATGTTTGTATGTGCTTGAAAACTGATATGCAGGTCTGTTTGTAATTGGAATTTGATATACAGGTGTGGGTTGCACAGGAATCAGATTTCTCTGAAACCTGCTCTGCATTTTACCGAAGGCTTTTGCCCTTCGGTAAATGCCCAAAGCAGGTCATTACCGAAGGCTTTTGCCCTTCGGTAAATACCCTCGAATGGCCATTACCGAGGGCTTCTGCCCTTCAGTAATTACCGAGGGCTTCTGCCCTTCGGTAATTACCGAAGGCTTTTGCCCTTCGGTAATTACCGAGGGCTTTTGGCCTTCGGTAATTACCGAAGGCTTTTGGCCCTCGGTAATTACCGAAGGGCGAAAGCCCTCGGTAATTGTTAGCGACAAGGGATTTACCGAAGGATTTTTGGCCGTCGATAAGCCTTCGGTAAACACCCTTTATCGACGGCCTTTGGCATTTTCCGAGGGCTTCTGGCCTTCGGTAATACCCTACTTTTTTGTAGTGTGAGAAGAACACAGAATTTAATGGTGAAGTTTGTATGTGAAGAAATTCAAATTCCTCAGAACATCAGTCACTGGTAAATTTTCGTGCTCTTCCTCCGTATGCCTTAGTATGAAGAGCATAGTTTTAAGAAAAAACTTCTCTATTCTTTATACCAAACGATTCTATTTGTGTAAGTACCTTTGACATTCCACTAACACATAGTTACACACTCTATTTTATATTTCATAACAATTCATGTCTTTTATTTTTAAATTATAAAATTAAAATGAATATTTTCTTCTTTACTGTTGCAGACATTGTGAAAACAATCTTGAAAATATTCTTGAAAATGCACGAGTGTGTTTGAAAGAAGCCTTAAGAGCATATGCAGGAAGCAGACATATGAAATGGCTGAGAATACAATTCATGTGGTGATGATTCCATGGTCTGCCTTTGGCCACTTGATCCCATTTTTCCAACTTTCCATAGCCTTGGCCAAATCTGGTGTTCATGTCTCCTTCATATCAACGCCCAAAAACATTAAAAGGCTTCCTAAAGTTCCTTCAACTTTAGCCCATTTGATTGATCTGGTGCAACTTCCTTTGCCATCACTAGATAAAGAGCTCTTGCCAGAAGGTGCTGAGGCCACTGTGGACATTCCATTTGAAAAAATTCAATACTTGAAGTTGGCATATGATAATCTGCAACATGCTGTGAAGCAATTTGTGGGCAATCAGTTACCAGATTGGATAATTTGTGACTTTTGTCAGCACTGGATCACAGACATTGCTCAAGAGCTTCAGGTGAAGTTAATCTACTTTTCTGTTTACTCGGCTTCTACAATGGCATTCTTGGGACCACCAGGCACAAGAAAAGCTCCCGTATCTCCAGAAAGTTTAACAGTACCACCACAATGGCTGACATTTCCCTCATCAGTGGCTCTTCAAAGACAAGAGGCAAGTGCTTTTTGTGCTAATCACTACGAGGAAAATGCTTCAGGGATAGGGGACTTAGAAAGGTTTGCAAAAGTATTCAGTGCCTCCAAAGCTATAATATTTCGTAGTTGCTACGAGATTGAAGGAGAATATTTGAATGCATTACAGAAATTAGCTGGGAAGCCTGTGATTCCCATAGGTTTATTACCTGTAGAGAGAGGAAATGTTGAAGGGGTTAGGGGTGAGACATTTGAGTGGCTTGATAGACAAGCATGCAGATCAGTTTTATTTGTAGGGTTTGGCAGTGAGTGCAAGCTGAGCAAGGATCAAGTTTTTGAGATAGCTTATGGAGTTGAGGAGTCTGAATTGCCATTTTTATGGGCACTCAGAAAACCAAGTTGGGCAAACAATGATGAAGATTCTTTACCTTTTGGTTTCATTGAAAGGACATCTGAGAGAGGAATTGTTTGCATGGGATGGATACCACAACAGGAAATATTGGCACATCCGTGTATTGGGGGATCTTTGTTTCACTCTGGCTGGGGTTCTGCCATTGAAACCTTGCAGTTTGGTCATACACTAGTTTTGTTACCCTTCATTGCAGATCAACCTCTTAATGCAAGGTTTTTGGTTGAAAAGGGTCTAGCCATTGAAGTTAAACGAAATGCAGATGGGTCATTCAGTAGAAATGACATTGCCACATCTATTAAACAAGCTATGGTATTGGAGGAAGGGAAGAATATCAGAGCTAATACAGGAGAAGCTGCTACAATTGTAGGAAACAGGAAGCTGCACCAAGATCATTACATAGCTGCATTTGTTCAGTTTCTTAAGAAATGAATCCAGAAGAAAATATGAAGTTGAAGAGAATCATTAAGGCTTTTTGAGTTTAGGGCTTAACAGTTTGTTAATCCTATTCTTTAGAGCAGTGTCACATAGGCTTAGCATTTTTCTTATCTATTGATTTAATTTTTGTTTTCTATCTAAGGCTACTTATAAAAGCAAAAAACTTGTATTCTGAATTCAGCAAACACTCTCTATTGTTGTAGTTTTTTAATATTCCAAAAGTCCAATTCCACATGCCATAGTGCACTCTTTTTCAAATGGTTTATATATCTGTACATTCCTTATATCCTCAAAATGAATAATAAAAGTCATGGTGCTTATATGTAGAAGGTTAAAGCATGAGATAAAAATATAATTGTCTTTTTGCAGTTTTTGGTTTTTCTGCTTCAAATGGTGTGTATGGTTGTTAAGCCTTTTAATTGTACCATAAGCAAACATTCAAATACGTCATGGATACAACGTCGAATCTTTTAGTTATGTTCAAAAACGATTTTGCTCACATGCACGTTATGATGTCAGTTTGCAAATGTGATAAATGTTAACGTAGTTTTTTTAAAGGTTTTGCAATAGATCTTCATGGTAGTAACCAAAATAAAACATGTGGAAACGTTAGGAGACTAAAAAAAAATTACAAAAAACATTAAGGCCTTTTGCCATGAGATTGATGGTGGAAACTCCAACCTTGTATATCTTAGTTAGGTGGATCGAAATAATTCATTGTTATTTTATTGTGATTAATTATATTGATAATAAAAATTGAAATTGTATTTTTAAATTTAGCCATGATATTTGAGTAATTTATTTCACCGAAATATAATAATGAAGGAGTATATTAAAAAAATAACTTCTAAGTATAAACATAGTGCCAAAATTCACTCAACGAAAAAAATCACATTAGTAAATCAAAATTAAAACCTGAAGGCAAATGAACCAACTGCACAGGGGAAACTATAGTATTGGAAAACTGCTTTAGTGTGAATGAACGACAAATTCCTTGTAAGCATTGCATTAGTAAAAGCTAAAGCTCACGATGTCTTGCAACCACTTCTTCCAAAACTGTCTACTTGCATAGCACATCATTTAGAAGGCATTTCTTGCCATGTGCTGCCGAGAGCAACCCCGTGATTTTTAATGATCTGAACTGCCAGAAGCAGAATTTCTTGTTCAGCAGAGTATAGTTCATCTTTGCGCTGTAGAAAGCAGAGACACAAGATAATCAGTAATCAACATGGAATCACAACTAACTCTGAAGATTGCAAGTAACAGATCCTCCTGTATCTATTTTAGAAACCCATCAGAAAATCAGTTTCCTTGGCCAGTTGGCCAGACCATTATTCCTACTTACAGGTCTAAGTATGGTGTTCGAAAGTTAGCTGCAGTGAGATATCATTTAAATATTCCTTGAACGGTCAAAACAAATGTAGAACAAGCTGGAAATCCAATCAAAATAAATGCAACACAAAATGAAGCAAAGGGAAGTTAAAAGATAATTATTTATAGCACCTCCATATAGTATTCCAATAGGTGTTTCACTGTGCTTGCACGTCAATTTCTTAAAATGTATTTTCATTTAAGAATAAGTTTTCCAAATTATGAACAAAAAGGATTAATCAACTATGAAAAAAAAAAACATAATATTGTTAAAATCAGAGATTCAAATGGGTGAGGTACCATATGTTTGAGGTTGTATCCAAGAGTCAATTCTGCATATGAACTTTCTATACGGGATAAGAAACAGTAGGGAACATCTTTCCCTAAGAAAACCTTTGCATTTGACCTGAGCATGCTTTTTACATCATCTGATATCTGGGGAATCTTACTTATATCCTCACTTTGCAGAGGAATTTTGCTAATAATGGCACGATATTCAGCACGGGACTTATTCACAATAACCTACAAAGTTAGCATGAAAGAGGGTTGTCCATTCAATGAATGAGGAAAATAAAGTATATCATAGCCACAACATCAAAAGCTTAAGCACGACACATGCTCATAGAATTAAGGTACAGCTTCGTATCAATAGTGTGTGAGAGTGCAAACATGTAAACGTGAAGTGTGAACATCAATTTATATATCCTCCAGAGAAGTTTTCAATTACACAAATTCAAGCTCAAAAATCAAAGGGAAGTATAAAAATTAAAAACACAAGTGCGATCAAGTAATTTAATCAAATATTTTGGCTTCAGTCTAAAAGCTGACGAAAACAATGGCTTGACAAATCTAAACTCTAGAGACAATATCCAACAGTGTACCATGAAGGAGCAGCACATGGTATGATAGCAATGCATTACAAAATTATTTGACCAAAAGAATAATGAAATAAAAGAAAAATCATGTTCAAGATAAGAAGAAAAAAAAACATGGTTTGAAACACAGGCACATGTCAGCATTTTCTTCTTCCTTCATAATATATTCGTATTTATTTTTTCTCTTGCAACAGATTATGAAATAAAACTAACTAAAACAAACCAAGGAGCAAAAAGGTCGGCTTAAACAGAAGTATAAGTTGAAAGACAAGAGAACTATATATATGCTTGCTCAAACTAGTGCTTCGAAAGTCAAACTACAAACAAAATTTTCCAACTAGTTGCATATCTTAGCATGATGTAGTGCCAAAGATAAATTTGTAATGTGCAAGTGCTCAGAACATATTTTCTCTTTCGTAAAGTCATTTACATAGATACATTTTAGAGAAAGAAAGAAACAATAGAATAGACTTCACTAATCTTAAATTATGGGCCCCATTTCTCTGTATTGCTTAAGCAGAAGTGAGCATAGAGACCCACCTGGCTAGAAAAAAATGAGTTTGGAACAATGACCGGAAACTTCTCTGAACTCAGCAAAGATGTAGTAGTAAGACCCATTTCCACCACTTGACCCTCTATCGAGCCTGCCTGCAATTTTTAAAATTTCTCAGACAGATAAGAAACATGAAACTTAACCAGGGGAAGACCTCCATTGATGCAAGAACACTTCAAGATTTCTGAATTTTGGGAAATGCTCTTTGCAGTTACAAAAAAATTTATGATAAGTATGTTAATCAATCCAAACTCATGGTATCTTTTCTCCAAAACACTCATCTAATTTTTTTTCTTTTTATTTTGGGCCCTCCAATGTTTCATATCAATCCTAATCCTAAAGCTAGACGTACTAACTACATCTATATATGCACTACACGTTGGGCCATTTGAAAAAAGCACCAATAATGAAGGACTATCTAACTTAATAATGTGCATGAAGTAAAAAAACTAATTATAACTCCTCACCTAAAAAGTTAACCGTAGAGAGGGCATTCAAGTGAAAGACCATAGTTCAGAAAATAAATTATACCATAAAAGGACCAATCCTTAATGTTCACCTACTAAATCAACATACTTTTATTGTATCTCCAACTGAAAAAGGCTTAGAAAACTGCATAGATAAACCACTAAACACGTTGCCAAGAATGTCCTTGGCAGCAAAAGCAGTAGCCACTCCTGCATAAGAAAGAAAGAAACATGAAGTCTTCTATTCTCTGTTTTATTGGTAAAAAATGAGTGAAACTTGTCAAGGAATGGGGAGCAAGTCAACAACATGATAAAACATTTATCAACTGGATAGCTGATGGTTCTGCTAAACGGAACAAAAGAAATACTATATGTGCATTTGTGTATTCTATTTCTTTCATTTACCTACTGCTGACTTTCTTCATTGTTTTACAATTCTAAAAATAGAATGCAACTCCTCTAAAGTCAACTGTTGATTGAAAAAATACGAATCAACAGTTGAGAAATGTAACAAAATCAAGCATATGTATATATCAAGCTTTGAATCTTGTTAGTATCACAACTGTTGATTAGCAAATTAAAAGCTATTACTGCACTTTATTCTCTAAAGTGGACACCCCTAACTTTAGAGGTCAAAATTAGACGACCTAGTTGTACAGTGTATTTTTATAAAAACAACTTATGCTGTGCGTACTCTCGCCCTTTGAGTTGTTTTGCGAACGAAAAGCACCATTAATAGATGCCTAATCAATTCCTTCAGTAGGTATACTTATCCCAATACAACTTGCAAATAATTTTTGTCATACTTGACCCTTTTATAAACTAATTCAAATTATTTGTCAAACTTGACCCTTTTATATAAGCAAACTGAAGCTTACCACACCAGATAATAATATACCAATTTCTACAGTGCTAATGGTTGTCATCTTTCGACCAAATTCTATGCTTATAAGGAACTTTTCTTTTCGAAAATCGGATCAACAAGACTTTTCGGCTTCAATCAACACTCAACTTTAATGAAAAACAAACACATAGGGGTAACAGAGATGCCAAAAAATATTAAGAATCCAAAATTAAATTCATCAGACTTAATTTAATTTAATACTTACCTCCTATACCACCAACAGTAACAATAGATTGCACGGCCACACCACAAGCCTCAGCAAAAGCCATTATACCAATCACAAATAGACCAATTGATGAGATTTTGTCAAGAGCGAGCACTTTGTCCCTATCAAGTCCAAGTAAACTTTGACTGGACAATGTCCGTGCAAAAACATTTGTTTTCCATCTATGCAAAAACCATACAAATGAAACTATGACTGCACCCCTCCAAACTGGTGCAAGATATTCTGCGGTTATAGTTGTTGGAGCTACCATTACACCACTGGAAATCAAAGTCAGCTGTCATATAACCATAAATACAGCAAACAAAATGACACATTTAAAAAATGACCGAGTGTGTACATACAACCCACTAACATTTGTGAGAATGCCATAAAGGTAACTAAATATCGCACAGGATCCTCCATAGCACCCCAGAAGCTTTTCTCGTAAGGAACTGGATCTCCAGACATGCTTCCTGGCAATAGAGAAACGGGACCTTGCATTGCATATCTGTGAAATTTCCTCAAAATCACAGGCATCAAGAACCAAGCTATTAGCGTAGCAGTTAAAGTACCACCAACCGGAATAACCACCTTGCCTAAATATGGGTGTGAATCAAGCAACTGCTGAGCATATGGACTGAGATCATCGGATGCTGCTTTAACCTTTTCCCCAGCATATGATGCTGACTCTCCCACACTCTTACAAACATCTCTAATCCTCTCAGCCCAATCACCCCCAGCAACAGAATCACCAGTGGTATTCATGTCACTCGCACCAGAACCGGCAGAGACTTCTGTACCAGCATCTCTACTTCCTTTATCACCACCCACCGTCGACGAATAAAATCGGCGATTCAACACGTGGCTCGCAGAAGCAAAAGGAAGGGCACTCCGAAAACAATAGCTAGAGAATCTAGGATTATACGATACATTGGATCTAGTACCAAATTGGTGTCTACTTCCAAAGGATTCAGAAGCCAAGTTACTAAACTGATTCTTAGCAGACTGCAACTCTCTTTTGTAATAAGGATGACTAGGTAAGTCACTCGGCAACCTTGCAAGGTTCATGAACACACTATGGTGAGAGTGACGGTGCTGAACTAATTCCGTACTGAAAGAAACATTGATTGTGATTCCTATACGTCTTACAGAGGAAGCCCTAACAGCTGCCATTGTAGAACAAACTAACAACTCAACATTTGAAAGTAAACAGCGATGGCATTGTATGGAACAATATCAATCAAATACAGTACCGAGTCAATCTGCGAATTCGAGAACAATTATCAGAATGCAATCACAACATAATTAGATTAAATTAAAATTTGATATAACCAATTCAGAGTAATAGAATTAATTTATAAACCCTAAGCATAGAGTATTTGTCAGCAGAAAAAAGAGTGGAAATAAATTAGCAGAGACTGCCATAAACGAGGTCTTACTTTCGCCCTGAATCGATTTCATTTGTGAACTAACAGAATCTTCTTTTACTTGCCTTGGAAAGAAAGACAACAACCCAATAAATTAATAATATTTTTTCGCACAGCATCACTGGATGGTAGCTCACCCAGTTTGGACATTGAAAATTAGAGAGGGTAAAAAAAGTGAAGTCTTATTTTATAGAAAATTTGAAGAAAAATGTTTATGCTTTTATTTTTATGATTAACATTTTTTATCACTAATATTTTAATCTTTATAATGTATGGACAATCTTTCATTTTATTAGTATTTACAAAATTTAAAAAGAATCAAGCATAAGTATGATTTTTTAAAAATTTAGATATAAGTATTCAATAAATGAGACTTTTCAATTTAATAATTGTTCACTGTAATTTAAAATAAAATAAAGAAAGTCATGTAAACAGTATTAAGTGAGACAAAAATTTAGAAATATATGCTATTGGTATTTTAAATTATATTTTTAAAGAAAAAGGTGCATTTAATGAACATTTTTAAAAGTTATAATAATTAATAAAAACTATGTGGATCTTTCATAGCAAACTGCAAAATATGATGATATTAAATTAAGATTTGAAAATGATTAAAAAAAATTGTCTTGAATTATTTTGTTATGTGATTTTTACGGATTTTGTCTAATTTTTAAAGGAAGAAAAAAAAAATTGGTAATGAACGTTTTTTTAGAGGAAGGCAATGGATTTTTTTTAAAGGAATGCAATGAACGAATTAAGAGAATAAAAAAAATTAAAATTTTATTGTTCAAGTGAAATATGATAAAAGGATGAATATATTTCTTGATTTTGAAATTCTGCAAGTGTTTGGTCGTTTTTATGTTTCTTCTAATAGAAATTCTATTAAAAAAATTGCTTTTAGCTGCTATTCTCAGATTTATTCATTCGGATTTTTCTTATCAAATTTTAAAATTTATTGTGTATTCTTTTACATATCAATTAAAATAATTGGCTTCTTAAGTTTGAAAAAATAAAAACTTTAGTCAGTAAAATTTCTTTAGATAAAATTAGTTCAATTGTTTTTTCACAAAACAACCTTAACTTTGCCTACTGTGTTAAATACTGATATAATATGACACTTCGCTATCCTTTTTGAGTGCATGATGAAAAATTTAGTCAAACAGTATCAGTTTTCCTTAGTCTCATTCCCTCCATTAAAAGTTAACATATGACTACTTGGTACCTGATATAGAAATATAAAAAAGTTTAATACAATATCAAAAACTTTATAACACTACTAAGTTCCAATTATTTTGTTTAATGTTTCATTTTTCACACAAGGCCTGTTTATAAGTTATTATGCTACTGAATATAAAATGAACTTTCACGTGTAATAAAGTTGCTTGGTGTATACTAATTTCATATAGAACTGGTTGAATGCTGAACGTTCGAAATATCCAAAAGCGTACAATTTTACAGAACTGGTTGCTGTAGATCGTGACACCAAAAGTTTAATTTGAGCCTAATATGTTTCTTTTATTGACCAATCCTTTCAAACTGCTAAATAATTAAAAAAATAAAAAAAAAAACATAAAAATAATAAAAATAAATTAACAAAAAAAAAACTTTTTATACTTCATCATCCCTAATGTTTCTTGACACAAGCAACAAATATATAAATAGTATAAAAGTCTTGCAGTCAAAGAGTCTAATTAAGAATTCATCATAGTTATTTATTAAAACTCCAATTTGTGAGCTAAAAGCAGGCTTGGCCGGCCATGTTATTGGAGTGAAACTATGAAAGATTCAATGAAAATGGTGTATATATAACACTGAAGCTAGAATTAAGAGTATATCAGAGAGCATTGAAGCTGAAATTAACTCAGAAGCACATAGGAGTGAAGTAGAACAGATATGAGACAAGCTGGTGCATATTCAGGGTTACTGTGTGGAGGGGTATCAGGAAGGACAGGACCCCATTCTCTGCCCTTGGCAAGGATCAAGAAGATCATGAAGAAGTCAGGGGATGATGTTAAAATGATATCAGGGGAGGCTCCAATTATCTTCTCCAAGGCTTGTGAGCTCTTCATTGAGGAACTTACTAGAAGGTCCTGGATCATGGCCATCCAAGGCAAAAGGAGGACTCTGCACAAAGAGGATTTGACCTCTGCAGTTATAGCCACTGATCTATTTGACTTTTTGATCACTTTGGTTTCCAATTCTGACAACCATCCACTTGGTGGCACCACCTCTACCATAGAGGTAGAAACTATATATTAGTCTTCAACAACCTAAACACAACAGCAGCTACAGAATTTGAGTTCATGTAATTATTGTAATATACATATGTATGTGTGTGTGTGTGAGAGAGTTTATCTGTTGGTTATGCATCACTATACTTGAATGAATGAAGTTGTGCCATGATTTTTAAGACACAGGAACTGTATATTACTAGTTCTTCTAGACTTTAGGCAGTAAGATAAAGGCTGCATAACTTTTTCATTTAGGTGCAGTGAGACATCATTTGAATATTCCTTGAATGGTCAAAATAAAGGTAGAAAAAACTGGAAATCCAATCAAAATAAATGCAAATAAAATGAAGTAAAAGGAACTTAAAATGATAATTATAACATCTTCATATAGTACTTCCTACAGGTGTTTCACTGTGCTTGTACGTCAATTTCTTAAAATTAATTTTCATTTAAGAATAAGTTTTCCAAAACCATTTTATGAACAAAAAGGATTCATCAAGTATAAAACAACCATAATATGGTTAAATTCAGGGATCCAAATGAGTGAGGTACCATATGTTTGAGGTTGAATTCTAGAGTCAATTCTGCATATGACTTTCCAACAGGACAAGAAATAGTAGGGAACATCTTTCCAATAAAACCTTTGCATCTGATCTGACCATCGCCTTTACATCTTCTGATATATGGGGAACCTTAGTTAAATCCTCCGTTTGCAGAGAAATTTAGNATATGAGACAAGCTGGTGCATATTCAGGGTTACTGTGTGGAGGGGTATCAGGAAGGACAGGACCCCATTCTCTGCCCTTGGCAAGGATCAAGAAGATCATGAAGAAGTCAGGGGATGATGTTAAAATGATATCAGGGGAGGCTCCAATTATCTTCTCCAAGGCTTGTGAGCTCTTCATTGAGGAACTTACTAGAAGGTCCTGGATCATGGCCATCCAAGGCAAAAGGAGGACTCTGCACAAAGAGGATTTGACCTCTGCAGTTATAGCCACTGATCTATTTGACTTTTTGATCACTTTGGTTTCCAATTCTGACAACCATCCACTTGGTGGCACCACCTCTACCATAGAGGTAGAAACTATATATTAGTCTTCAACAACCTAAACACAACAGCAGCTACAGAATTTGAGTTCATGTAATTATTGTAATATACATATGTATGTGTGTGTGTGTGAGAGAGTTTATCTGTTGGTTATGCATCACTATACTTGAATGAATGAAGTTGTGCCATGATTTTTAAGACACAGGAACTGTATATTACTAGTTCTTCTAGACTTTAGGCAGTAAGATAAAGGCTGCATAACTTTTTCATTTAGGTGCAGTGAGACATCATTTGAATATTCCTTGAATGGTCAAAATAAAGGTAGAAAAAACTGGAAATCCAATCAAAATAAATGCAAATAAAATGAAGCAAAAGGAACTTAAAATGATAATTATAACATCTTCATATAGTACTTCCTACAGGTGTTTCACTGTGCTTGTACGTCAATTTCTTAAAATTAATTTTCATTTAAGAATAAGTTTTCCAAAACCATTTTATGAACAAAAAGGATTCATCAAGTATAAAACAACCATAATATGGTTAAATTCAGGGATCCAAATGAGTGAGGTACCATATGTTTGAGGTTGAATTCTAGAGTCAATTCTGCATATGACTTTCCAACAGGACAAGAAATAGTAGGGAACATCTTTCCAATAAAACCTTTGCATCTGATCTGACCATCGCCTTTACATCTTCTGATATATGGGGAACCTTAGTTAAATCCTCCGTTTGCAGAGAAATTTAGGTAACAATGGCACGGGACTTGTTCACAATAACCTACAAAGTTAGCATGAAAAGAGGGTTGTCATTCAATGAATGAGGCGAAAGTATATCATAGTCGCAACATCAAAAGCTTATGCAAGAAACAAGACTAGAACTCAGGCAATAGCTTCGTATCAATAGTGTGTGAGAATGCAAACATGTAAACGTAAAGTGTGACCTTCAATTTACATATCATCCGAAGAAGTTTTCAAGTACATAAGTTCAAGCCCAAAAATCAAAGGAAATTATAAAATTAAAAACACACGTGCAATCAGGTAACTTAATCAGATATCCTGGCGTCTGTTTAAAAACTGATGAAAAGAATGGCTGGACAATCTAAACTCTAAAGACATCCAACAGAGTCTGACCATGAATGAGCAGCACATGGCTTGATAGCACTGCATTACACTATTATTCGTACCATGTAACAATAATGAGAAAACATGTTCATGATTGCAATCCATTACATCTGTTTTTAAACGACAATTCTTACATTATTGGAGTGAAAGCCTCAACTTCAACAAATCTAAATCCATTCAATTGCATTCATTAGCGTAGGTTTCCAACAAATAGAATTTACCCTTCTAACAATACCGAGCACCATTATGGTTCAACAAACAAAACTCAGAAAACCTTGACCTCTCTTGCAGCCTAATGAACTCTCATCCTTCAACTTCAGCCGGCGTCTTCGCCTCGATAGACAAGGCATGCAATCCAGTTTCCAGCTCCTCTTGCAGAAGGCCATAAATAAGCCTATGCCTCTTAACCAAACTCTTCCCTTCAAACTCCTTAGACACAACTCTAACATTGAAATGCGTTTCTCCATCACTCCCTCTAACCCCAGCATGCCCCGCATGCTGATAAGACACATCCTCAACCTCCAACTCAACAGGCTCAAGCTCCTTCTGCAACTTCTCCCTTATACTCTTCCCCCTCCCTCCCAATTCCACACCACCCTCAGAATCCAAACCAACATCACCCTCACCAAGTTCAGAACTTTCTCCACCCCTTGAAGGATTTTCAACAATGCTATCAGAATTCGACTCGGGTGACTTCAATTCAGTGAACTCACCACCCCTTTCAGCTTCCACGTACAGCATAAGCGCCTTTTTCTGCATCAATTTAAGCATGTTCAAAAACCCGTTGTTCCTCGAGGGGGTCAGGCTCTGCTGCAACCCCAACAGCGTGACGAAATCTGGCGTGACCCGAATGATTTCACCAACGGGTCGACCCGAGAGGCCCTGAACGAGCAACGCGGCGAGGCCTTTGGTGAGGACGGAGTCGGAGTCGGCTTCGTAGACGACGTCGCGGTTGGGGTCGAGGTAGGCTCGGACCCAGACCTGGGAGACGCAACCTTGGACCTTGTTGTCGTTGGTTTTGAAGTGGGGCTCGAGGGGTTTGAGGTTTTTGCCATAGAAGAGGAGCTGTTCGTATTTGGCCTTGGGTTCGTGGACGGATTGGAAAAGGTGGACGATTTCTTGGAGCTTCGGGGGAAGGTCTTCGATGGGTTGAAGGGAATTGGATGATGGCAACGGTGATGATGATGACGATGATGATGGCGGCGGCGGCGGTGGTGATGATGATGGAAGTCTCTGGAAGGTGATGGATTTAGAGAAGAGAGTTTTTCTTAGAGAAGGAAGGAAAGTTGGGGTTTTGGGGAAGAGGGAGAGAGGGAGAGAGGGATTGTGGTAGTGACAAATCGAAAGGAAGATGATAAAACCGAATTGGTAGCCATTGTTGAAGATAGTTACAGCAGTTGAGAATGTACCTGAAAGTGACAGAGACAATCTTTCATTCATTAGTTTGTAGGCTTTTCGTGGCCTAAGAATAGAGTCATACTATTCCAACCCTTAGGCTTTATTCTAACCTAAGGCTTTGTTGATGGGTTGGGAGGAGATGATACGAGGAAGATGGTTTGAATGAATTTAAATGAATTT